TCAGGATGCGTTTTAATGCAACGGCGTGCTGTGAAATATAAAAAAAAACTTGCCATTTCCAAAACAGAGCCTCATTGGCAGTACACACGTGACCTATGCACATCTCATCTCAACAGCGGTAAAGGTCAATGTTGCGACTGTTGGCGCACTACTGGCCACAGCTGTCATTTCATTAGGGTAATTCAATTCTGATCAGTTTTAAATAAAGTTAAATTATTAAAACCGTGTGTGGAATTATTGATCATTGTGTGCGTGCAGACACACACACACAGGCACACTTTAAATGCATTTAGATGTGTTTATATGTAATAGAAAATGCGCACGTCCATTGGACGTGGCCTGCCTTCCAGCCAGGCAGCCCTGCAGGTGGCCAGGGGGCTAGTCAGTCAGAGGGCCAGGCAGCCATTTTTATTATATATATATTTAATATGCAAATGCGATTTTATTTATACTTGAACATATCGCCAGCAGCAAATTTTTCTCATAATTGGCATTGTTAAAAGGCCGTCCGACCTCCCCAGCTTCACATTCAGTGGCGTGTGTTTAAGGAAAAAACGTTGTGCAAACGTCGCCACGAGGTGCGGCGGCGGGCGATACTAATCTCGGTGCAATTACCGACAATAATATAATGCTCTGTTGTAGAGTGCGTTAATTTAATGATAAACTCCCGTGGGTAATTACGGGCATTTTTGAGGTGGATTCAAAGATAGTTAAGGCTACCGTGGATTCCACTGTCCCCGTGAACATGACTCATTCCAATTTTCAACTACTTTATTAGGCGATAGATTTCCAGACAAGGTAGCTGTATTTTGCCGCTGCCTGAGCGCGGTTGATAATATGAAGAAGAAAAAATCCGAGGGAATCGCTTGAAGATAAAGCAGCCGAACAATTAAATTTATCAGTCACTTCCCGTGCTTGCACTCGCTGCAATGCCTAAAGACCCGTATCTGGAAATCTGTGAGTGGCTGCGTTCATTGCGTCACTCGCCCGCCACCCTGCCGGCCTGTACTACCAGAGCCTCTAAGTCCTCCGCGTTGTAAAGGCGTAAAGAAACAAAAAATACATGCCGTGAACAGTCGCACTTCCGTGATGTGTGCCACCACGCCACCAGTCGTCGTTGGTGGAGTGTTCCTTTCAATACACCGCCTTCGTGCAGCACGCCGTTCGTTAAATAAGCACATGCGCTGTATACTCTTTGGTTCTTTCGTTAAAGTCACGTGGGTAGAAAAATAAAACAAACAAAAATAACATCACGATTATTTTTTCCGCCCGATGACGATCGCTTGTGTTGCGATTTAAATGTCGTGGTATATTATTTATATTTAGTTTTATCTTTCTACCTGCGTGACTTTAACGAAAGAACCAAAGAGTATGGATTCCTGCAGTCACGAAAGCTTCAAATCAAGAAGCACATGTATAACTGCGCATTCATTGCGAAGGTGGGTGGTGTCTATTGGGCTGCGTGCGCCTCGCTTGACAAGGCAGGCCTTGTTTGATATCCTGAAGGTTTTCCACGGATAGCCGGATTAGGGTTTATTACGGCCATAGCATAATAATGTTAAGAAAAGTGTTAAAAATGTCCCGGCTGTAACAGAGCTTGTTTTCAACGACAGATGTTATTTGATGCATTAGAGATGCCGGCAAACGTTCATCCGTGGACAAGGATGCTTGCACTGTCCTATATATATTCGACACTTTGTTCGTGTGACTGCCCTGAGTCTGGAGCACAGAGCCAGGCCCAGATTAAGTTTGATGGGGGGGCCCAAGGCTATCGAAGTTTTGTGCTCCCCCCCCCGACCCCCCCCTGGATATTTAGCTCCTTCCCTTGACTGTTGACTACCACCCATACCCGATGTAGCACGCTCCATTGTAATTTACCTTGGTTATTTAATTTCTAGTGTTTAACCAAAAAAAATTTCACATGAAAATTGTAAATCCTAATCAATGTGAAAATTAAATAAAAAAAATATACATTTTAATCTTGGCACATCACTGTTAGGAGGACACAGTGATGATGTGGCATTAATTACCACATCATCTATAGGATTTATCATAGTGTTACAAGATTAAGTTTCAACCATTAAAAAAATACATTTCTCAGGAGCACTCAAAATCATAGGCCCCGAGCTGCATCTCTTAGAACCCCCACCCACCCAACTCCCCCCTCCCCGCCCCCCGCACGATTCTGGCCCTACAAATAGCTGGATAATATTTGGGCGACTCTTGCAAACATCGTCTCGAGAATACGTTCCAAATGTCCCGGTGAATTTACGGGGCCCTTTCTTGCTTCAACGCTCCGATCGGTCGGGGGTGGTTCTCACCGAGCTTTGTCAAGGGCTTTGCCAAGAAGGGGAGGCCTTAAAAAGCGACCTTTGATTGATTGTTGCGAGCGCAAAAACCGTGGTAGCCTTTCACAACGTGCCGTCAACACACGACTGTGGGCACGGCCTATTGGTTCCGGTTATTAGGTCGAGGGTCGGCAATGCTGTGCGGAAATTGCCGAGCAGATCTTAGCTACCTTGGAGCTACTTTGCATTGGGTTAAAGGTCGAATGGTCACATGACACAGAACCACAGGTGTATTTCTGAACTGTGGTGCTGCATTCAGTGAATTAGACCTCCGTTGGCGGTACTGTTTGTGTAGCTTTCTGTCTCATTTTGCCTTCGATTAAATGTGTAATGGGCGAAAAGTGTGCACTTGTGTGAGTGTGTATTACATTTACAATGGTTAGGGTGGCATAGGTTGAACCTCGAATGAGGGCGGATCAGAGTTCTTTTAGAAAACCGAACCTGATAATGAAAGGCAACAGCGATTTTCCAAAAGACAAGAGTGTTTAATCGGTGCGTGTTCTGTAAGACCTGCTGTGATGGATAGTTCAGAAGCACCCAGGTCGTTGACGAAACACGAAACAAAAACTGAGAAACAGAAAGGAGGAGCATAATGGATGAGAGAACATGCGAAGATTAATGCCATAATGCAAACCGTTAATAAAAGCAAGTGGGCTTGGGCAGGACATGTCACGGCCAGAAGGGATGATGGTTGCCGATGGTAACAAATCGTGACAGCGAAGGAATGCACCGCATCTGAGATGATGACGTCCACCAGGAAAATGTCGCGATGATATTGTCCTGTGTGTCGGCGCGGGCAGGGTGGATTCTAACCCCGAGGCGAGTCTTTGAATCTCTCCATGCCGTTGCCCCACCTCATCTCGCGTCTCTCATCTCCTTCCATGTCCTCTCTCATCCTCTTAGTTTCCATACACTTAACACTGCACCATATACTCAACACTGCACCATAGACTCAACACTGCATCATAAGCTAACACTGCCCATAGACTCAACACTGCCCACAGACTTAAAACTGCCCATCGACTCAACTCTGCCCATTGACTCAATACTGCACCATAGACTCAACACTGCCCATAGACTCAACACTGCCCATAGACTCAACACTGCTCTTGTACATTGAGCAGTCTGCCTCCTTAACCTTCCATTCCTGTCTTAAATCCCCACCTCTCCTCTATTAACCATTCTCTTCCCTCCCCTCGTCCCGCCACTCATTCCCGTCCCTCCCCACGACCATGTTGTGATCCTTAATTACACTTCTATTGTTGTCACTAATTCCTCAATCCTCTTAGCAGGTCCCTGCAAACCACTACGTCATGCGCCTTGAGTGGAGGCGCCCTATGAGTATAAATTATATTTATTGGATAATTCTTCGCGGGATCATGAGAGATATCTGCAGTATGTGGGGTGGGAAGCCTTCGTCCTGCAGTGAACTGATCCACGGCAAACCGTTGTTGATGGTCGCTTGGCTGTGTAAGGTGGCGGTCGTAGGCATGCGAGCGTGGGCTGTTCCATACAGCACGCACGCGTGCGTCCCCCTTTTAATAATGAATCCGATTCTCATTCGCGTGATAAAAAAAATTGCTAAAGCATGTCAGTCGCGTAAGGAGACAAAAAAAACTAAGTACGTATTTTATTTTTACTGTTAAAAAAAAAACGCTCGAGGCATAACCATTAGCAATAATGATGAGTTCATTATTTTGGCCCCTACAGTGAGCACAGAAATATAAAGTACAATATGAACAAGCACTGTACGTGAGCAATGAAGCAGTACCTGCCTGTATGTGGGAGCTCAAGGCATATTTGACAGTGTTTGATTGAAATCGTTTAACAGCCGTAGAAATGCAAAAAAACATGAGTGTGATTTAAATTACCGGCGAAGCGTCGTACTCGAATTATAAATGTTGTGGGTTTACTCTCCAACACATCGGTGTGCTGAACTAGTAACTAATTGGCATGTTTTGTTTACGTGGCAAACCTTACTAATTGGCTGTGTCGGGTGGGGGCTGGTTTAACCACATTTATATTTTTGCGATCTAACCCAAAAAAACCTCTTATGGATAATATTGGTCGCAAAAGCCTACGTTTTAAACAAAAGCATGTCATTTACTGCGTGTGTATGTGCGTGCGGGTATACATCTCGGTCATCTCAGTCAATCGACCCGTGGCACCTGGGTCTGCCCCGTGACCTCCTGCCAGCGGGCGTTTGACATTTCACGTGGCCTCAAGGTGCACATGGCCTGGCACAAGCGTCGTGGTGACGCCACCGCCACTTAGTGGCGAATGGCGGTTGTTGTTGTTGGGTACACATATATATATATCTCTATACACGTGGAGAGTGGTAGTGCAGTGGTTAGCGCACTGTGCTACGAACTCGGGGACCCAAGTTCGAGCCCCGCACATGGCCAACGTCAGTGACGATGATCTGAAATGGTCATTGGCCTCTTCAAGGTTGACTCAGCCTTAAATGAGTACCTGCTACGTTGTGTAAACATCACAACTGGGGAGACAAAGGTGGTCGGACGTGGTGCTGGCTCACCCACCCCCTCGTGTGCCGTGCCGGCGTTCATAGGCGCTGGCTAACAGCACTTGCCTCAAGTTTGTTGAAGTCTGTATGGGGCGTCTTTGTCTTTGTCTTTGCTCGTGTGTGTGCAGCGGGCAGTGCTGACCCGTTCTCATCGCTGGATCCGTTTGGGAGCAGCACGTTTGACAGCCAAGGCTTCGCCGACTTCGGAAATTCATCTCGAGTAAAATCACCACGACATTGCGACATCCAAAACAAACGTTACGATGACGACGATAACGATGCCGACAGTAACAATTGTAAATTCCCATACGGGGCAATGTCATATGTCCGACCGTCGCATATCTGTGGTGACTGACAACTCCTCCCCGCCCAGTGCATCATTTTTGTATTGCGGTGTAACCGGCCATTCACTGTAGATGTTCACAAATCACGCGGTGATGTGTTCTTAATCTTGTCTACATTCTCTTGCTTCTGAATAGCAGTAAAACATTTCGCCATGTTTAAGGGCAGTTTAATATTTTATCTTGCCCAGTAACCGATGTGTGCTTGATGTAACCGTCATTATTTAGAGGTGTGCACACATCCAATCTTTCACATTTTCACCAATGGCTCAGTTGCAAGTGAGTCTGACACGTGGTGTTGCGCTCTGCTTACAAACAGTTATCATCACTTCCGATGAGCACGGTTGGCTACATACGGTGTGAAAAAAGTTCGACATACGTACTTTTCACAAGTGATTTCTTTTTGTTGATCAGTCTCACATCTTAATTTATCTTAATTGAATGAAAAAGGTGAACATTTAACTTGTTTCCAGGTGCATGCTAAATACACATATATATAATTGCATTTATTTTCAAATGTATTGCTGAGAGATTGCGTGCAGTATAATGGCGCTACTGGCGTAGGTTAATTTTAAAGACTGCTATAAAATTCCACCCCATACCCACACTGACTATTCTGGTCAGTGTGGGTTTGTGGATGGGATAGTTCCAGAGCTGGTTCAAAGATCACCCAGGACTCACATTAGCCGCAGCTGACAGTCACACTCGGCTCGCAGGGTTTAAAGTGCTGTGCGCTAACCACTGCACCAGTGTGACACCATTTGATCACCTCATCACTGACGTAGGCCGAAATCCATTCACAGCTGGATTCAAATACAGGAGAACCCCTCTTAACGACCACCCCTTTTAACGACTAATCGGTTCTCCATAGAGCCCAATGTGCAGTGTATAGTAGTGTCGTGTATAGTAGTGTAATGTATCGTGTAGTGTATAATGTAGTGTATAGTAGTGTAATGTATAGTGTAGTATGTAGTAGTGTAGTGAATAGTATTGTAGTGTATAGTAGTGTAGTGTATAGTAGTGTAATGTATAATGTAGTGTATAGTAGTGTAGTGTATCGTGTAGTGTATAGTAGTGTATCGTGTAGTGTATAATGTAGTGTAGTAGTGTAATGTATAGTAGTGTGTAGTGTAGTGTATAGTAGTGTAGTAAATAGTAGTGGTGTATAGTGTAGTGTATAATGTAGCGTATAGTAGTGTAGTGTATAATGTAGTGTAGTGTATAGTGTAGTGTATAATGTAGTGTATAGAGTAGTGTAGTTGCCTCCATAAAACCACATTGAGTTCGCTTACGGACCATTCCCCTGTTAACGAAGGGCTGTTGTAGGTACAGTAAATATAACTTGATGCATTGATTAACCAGGCTTTTAAAAGTATGTGTTTATAATGTTGTTAGTATCTTTAAGTATTCATATAAATTGTTTATAAATATTATAGAGTAGGTTTTTTTGGTTGAAAAAGGGTCACTTTTGATGCTATCGGAACTAATTAAAGCCTTAACGTGTATTTCCTATCCTTGCTTAACGACCAAATCACCAGTTATCATCAGGACACATTTTTTAAATGTAATTCTTATTAGGCCCCACAATGTAAACTTTGGTATCCAACTCTTGCAGTCTGTTTAGGTGCTATGAAGAAGGGCGGTTTCGCAGAGTGTCGCCTGTTCTATATTTTTTACGGTTTAAGGCCCACGGTGTTATTAACAAACATGTGTAGAGTTTTTTTAGTTGTGAATTAAGTTTGTCATTTAATATTGTAAACACTGCTCCTTTAAACAACTCGACGGTAGCTTCTAACTTGGCATCGGAACTCGGGGCTGTCCGCCTTTTAATTAAATATTTCGGTATGATAATATCTTTTTTTTTTAAGGTTATTAAAATTCCAACCTGCCAAGTTCTCCAGGGGAACCTATAGAATTTAATAGGATTTTTGGTGGATTTATTAGGATTTTTGGAAGATTGTGGGGAATAACGTTAGTAAAAATCGATGTTAAACATCTACATTGCTAGAGGGAAGAGTGTGATATTGTTTGAATACATTACCATGCATTATGCAAAGAACCATGCAACTTGGTGACCTCACAGTTTGAGAGCGCAAGGATGTTGATTCACACTGTAGAATGTTTTAAGTGTAAAAGTTTAGTGTTTTTTTTGTAATTGTATTATATCACACATTTGTGAAAGAAAACTTTCAAAAGGGTGCTAAGATTTTCTTTAGTTTAATCACAAAGATGTTGCAAACTTTACACCCAATTTTCTTTTTTTTCGTGTAACTTTTAACTATATTTTTTGAACGTTCGGCAAAAGTTTTTTGCTAGTTTTTTTTCTCTCCAAGTGTTATTTTAACCAGCATGGGAAGTAATTTGGTGTTCATGGGGTGTGAAATATCCTTGCATTTTAGAACCTCCGCTACTTCAGCCTTTTCCATTCACCGGCTTGTTTTTACTTTCGGTGAGTGCAAGGCCAATGCAATGCATTGAGTGTGTCCTGGTGATTATTAGATGCACACTGGGTTTAAACAAAAAAGCAGTACCGTCTTTAAGTCCGGTGTTATGGCCTTCCTGGCCACAGTGGCCGCTTATCCCATACATGTGTTGCCTGATTTGAATAACTGTATCGACACCAACACACAGCCACTTCAAACATTACCGCATTGTCGGGATTGCAAGACACTTTTACCAGCGTCACAATTAAGTAACTTTGTCCTTTACCGCAACCTTGTTTTTCCGTTTTCCAGGGAGGTTGAATATTTTAGAATAGTTTTTTTATTCCTCCAAAGTTTTGGGTGTAGCTTACATTACGAGGGCATCCGGCAAGCCGGAGAATATGACCGTGGGTACGTTCAGCCTATCAGATACTTGTAGTGGGACAATGGTGATGTCTATGTGGCAGGTGTGTACAGGAGGGCCTCTCTTATCATTGAAGAAAGTTTTAGAAAAAGAGTTATGCATCATGTCAGCATCGTGGCTTTATGAAGCAGCAGGTGAATATAGGAGGTGAACGTGTAGCCAATACCGTTTCTGATATAGATATCAGGCTATGTGTTGAACACTTGAGTGTTTTTGTTCCATATACACAGGCACTCCACTTTCACCAACACCCACAACTAAGTAAAACAAAATCTAGCAATTTGATTTGGTCAAATGTCTCAATGTGGGGTCTTCCTGAAACATTGAGTCCTTGAGACTCAGTGATGCTTTTGACAAGATAATTAATTTGCTAAACTTATTTTTTTTACCAGCTATACAGCTCTTTTTCAGAATTTACCTAGCCACAAATGATAGATCAACAAAGTGGCTTATCACGTGGAATTTTATAGCAGCCAAATACTCCAAACGCATGTTTCTAAATGTGGAGGGAAAAACCGGAGGACCCAGAGAAAAATCCACGCGACCACGGGGAGAGGGACATGCAAACTCCAAATATACAACAGGCGTCTGGGTCTGGATTGAACCCACATCCTCCTGTATACCAGTTTACATCTCGCCACTGTGGCGCCCCAATAAAAAGAGGATTCTTTCAAATGTCCTTTAGCTCTGGGATTCTTAAGTTGAAATGGCAGAACCATGTATCAAACATCAGCTGTGAAATATAGATCATACCAATTACCACATCGTAGAGCCCCACCTGTCTCCGCTGGGCTGGTCGTTTCCCCAAAGCGCCGGCTTTCAGCACCCTTAAGGTCACGCCAATCAGCAGAGAGGAAAAGGCAGAAAGTAGAATACTCCCTGGTGCTGGTGATAAGGTGCTTTTGATACGTAGAGATTTTATATATAAAACGAACTTATTCCCACAGCAAACAGGCTTGGAAATGTTTTTAGTAAGGGCAACTGTTGGACTTTGATGTTGACAATGGTATGGGTATTGAATGGGACTCCCATTATAGAGACTGCATTCACTACACTGATGATGTTGAACATGTGTGATGGTGGTAATGGTAATGACGTTGGGCGGTAGTGCAATGGTTAGTACGCTGCATTACGAATACGGTGACCCGAGTTCGATTCCCGCTCATGGCCAACACCAGTGACGATTATCTGAACCGGTCCTAGGCCTCCCCTCAGTCGACTCAGCCTCAAATTGAGTACCTGGTGCGGTGCGTAAAACATCGCCACTAGGGAGACAAAGGCGGCCGGGCGTGGTGCTGGCCACCCACCACCTCATGTGGCGTGCCGGCCTTCATAGGTGCTTCTCGCAAACAGAACTTACTGCAAAAGTATGTTAAGGCTATATGGGGGATCTTTGTCTTTGGTAATGAAGATAATGAGTTGGGCAATTCTGGCTTGACAATTCTCTTATTGTGTGTGCAGTGATTCTGACGACGTTGAGTTCAATCTTTGCCCATGCACATTATTGGCATTTGGTATCTGAGTCTGCTATGAGCCTTTTCTAAGTTAACTCAACCTTACTTTCCTTCTGTCCGTCCAAGGACGGGTGTATTGCAGTAAATCTGAAACTTGCAAGCGAAAAGCAGACCGCGACATGATATTCATTGCATTAATGTGCAATTTGTAAGGGTGCGGTGACATGGACCTTTTTCATTTTGAGGTTATAAACCCTTAATCTTGATTTGAAGCTTTCGTGACTGCAGGAATCCATACTCTTTGGTTCTTTCGGTAAAATCACGGAGGTATAAAAAAAAAAAAATCACCACGTTTCGGGCGCAACACAAGCGTCCGTCTTTCCCACCTGATGATGGACGCTTGTGTTGTGCCCGAAACGTCGTGATTTAGAATCCCTTGTTCATCATGACGTCCTTTTTACTTCGATGTCTCAACAGCGTCACGGAGATCGCGTGACGTGAGGCTTCTGCCTTTGTAGTGAGGGTTGTGAGTTGACACCGAGGAGGGGGGAGGAGGCTCCTTGGCCCCCCATGTGGAGTGACGTCACCCGCTAATTATTATGCATGGAGGGGGGTGTCCATTTGGAGGACGTCACCTGCTCATGAATATTAATGAGGGGGGCTGGTCGATGTGGAGTGACGTCACGAATGTTAAGGATAGACATTGCTGGGTGATTATGTTAGGTATGGTGTTAATCATGGTCATGTAAATGACCATTGTAATATTACAATCTAAAGCTTGTTTTTATCAATACACTTTTGTAAGAAGGCATCTGCTTGCTTTTTGGTTTTGGGAGGTAGTTGACCATACTTCACCACACTGGCTCGTGATGTTTGGTGATTGTCGGTGAAGGGGATGTCCAAGACAGGTTCAGATTTTACTCCCCACTGATGTTAGCCGTGACCTCGATTTAAAATCTCAGGTCACCGGTTTCAGAGTGCAGCGCACTGCACTACCGTTCCACTCTGATGTATATTCATCATCGTTATGTTATAGATTTTTAGATTATTTTGATTATGGAGATTAAGATGCTAATAATAATAATTTATTTAGCACATGTTGGTGATGATGATGGCTGTGCTGATGATGATAACAATGATGATGGTATTAATGATATCACACATGATGGTGATGATGGTATAAGACACACGATGGTTAAGATCATCATTGTTCTGATAATGGTGATGATTATGATCAGATAGACGATGGCAATGATGGTGGATGATGATGACGATTACGACAAGACACACATATGGTGACGACGATGGTCCACGATGATGGTGACGACGACGACGGTGTTGTAATATTGATGAGCCGCTCCCGCTGCGTGCGCTGCAGCCCGGCAGCACGGACCCCTTCTCCGACTCGTCCGGTGGGGCCGCTGCAGGCGACCCGTTTGGCAGCGGCGCTTTCGGTGGTGGTGACGACCCGTTCCGCTCTCGCGAGGCCGTGCCGAATCTGCCCCCCAAGAGGAGCGCGCCACCGCGGCCCAAACCCCCCTCCTCCTCCGGTGAGTCGCCCGCCCCCCCCAACCGCCCCCCCCCCCCCCCCCCCCGTGGCGCTGGACGTAACGGCGTGCGGTGGACTCTACCGCCGCCACAGAGCAGCTAGACGGTAACGCCCCCCGCCCCCCTTTCCGGAACGGCTGCCCGAAGGGCCCCAGCTCGTGTCGTGCCGTGCGCTGTTTGTTTTTGGTGCAATGCCCGGAAATCATGCCGAGACAGCGCGTGGCACGGCCAGATAGCACCATGTCAGAGCTGAAAAGTGCAACCACGGGAAGCCCTTATGCGGTAGTGGTGCTTGATTACGTCCGGTTACGCGCGTGCGCTCCGTCTAAAGCTTTGCGCGTGCCGCGGCAGCCGGCAAGGATGGCTTCAACGCCTCGCTCGCCCGCAACAGTCCAGCATTACCCATCACTTGATAGTCTCTCTGGGCTTGAAAATTGTATAATGAGCTTTGCACCTGAAATGAGCACTTGGGTTATGGCTCACTCCTGGCACCTCGGCGCGGAATTAAATTTACCCCGTGATGCGCTCGTTAATGATCAGCGGAGACGACATTCGGTGAAAAATTGGCTCTTCAGTCTGGTGCAGCTACCGCAGCAAGCGGTTGTCTTCTCACGGCCATTGCGTGCCTGATTGGCAGACGCGATAAGTCGGAGCGTGTCGTGCCAAGGAGGGACCGCAGTTTGTGAGCGAGGGATGCGACGGCGACGATGATGATGATTGAACGGCATTTCATATTAACGGGCTGCATTATAAGCGAGTGAATATACACAACTGTGCCGACGTGTGCACGCCCGCGTGTGCTTTTCGTTCATAGAGGCATTCACAAATGTTTATAAAGGTATTCGTTCAGCATCAGTGAAAAAAAAAAAAACTCCACTAAATTACTCCGTTTAGTCACCCACACCCCCCGTGCCGTTTTATCGTGAGGCGGAGCGTACGCCGCCACTCGCACTCACAATGCTGCGTGCGCATCCCCAATCATCAGGTGATAGGGTGCTAAGTGCCCTCGGAGAATTGCTGAAATAGTGCGGTGGTTGAATTGTAAATAAAAAAGCGGCCGTCTTTTTATTCGTGTAAAAAAAAAAAACTAACTCCTTTTGGGTGATTTTAATGTTATTTTTTGTGCGTATCGAGTAAATTTATTTTCACCACATTTTAATTACCTCAACCATGGGTCTCGCCGTGCGTGTTCGATGTTTTAATTTGAGTGTCACTTGTTTTTTTTCAAAGTTATAATTTGCACAAATTAACAAAGAGTAAACGCCACAAATAAAAAGAAAGCCTGAAAGCGAATGTAAACATCATTATAAAGTGATGACACGTTTTCAAAATGCGTGGGGGCATAAAATAAAAGTAGCGTGCGCGATTAAAATCTCGGCTTGCAAGAGAAGATGATTACATTTTAAATTTAGTATCAAGTAATTTTTTAAATTCATAAGTATTCAAAAGCAGAAGCCGCTCAAGTGGAATAGTTTAAATGACAGGAAATGCCCAGATGATTTATTGACGGCAGGTGGTTTGGCATTTGATTTTCCTTTTAACTATTTTATAAACGTTGTCTCTGATGAGCTACGTACACTGTACGGTTTATTTTATACGACGGTTCAATTGGTGTTCGTACACGGCAGTGAAAAATGGCGCGCATTTATATCTGCTAACGAGGGAGCCCGCATTGGCTCCCTGGATTATTCTCGTTTTTCCATGGTTGCTCCGTGAAAAACCGCGTACCGCTTTGTAGAGGCTTCAATTATGAATCTTCGCATCACGAATTGCTTTTATCCGCAGGCTCATTCTCGATCTCGATCAGTGGCATCGCCGTTTGATTTCTTGAGCATCTTTCCTGCAAAGCGGGCTCCGCTGAGATGAGTCGGTGTGCAGTGGTTCATCGCTGTGTTTTCTCAGATTTCATGTCCGTTTTAGCGTTCATTCTTATGTCTCTCTCAAAGCCACCGCCGACTTCAACCGTGCATCAGAAAGTTAATATTTCCCGAAGGGGGCCGAAATGTTCACGACGAAAAAAAAACGAGGTGTTTTTTTTTTTACTTTTCAGCTATGAACAATTCCCCGAGCGCCACACAGTTAACACTATTTACGCCTCAAATTAGCATTTCTGCATGGAATCATGCCACTTTCACGTCACGTTAATTACTGTGGCCCTGAAAGCGAGCCAGCACATCCTAACATCTGCGCGAATCCGCAGTCGTCTCGTGCGGTTTGATTGAGCCAGCGCACACCACCGATATGCTTCTGTCCTCCCTTCCCGAGCCAGTGCGGCATGCCACAGCCGCCATCCTCATACAACTTTCGTGAACCCTGTAAATATTTTCCTTTCGCGGTCCGTAAATGCTCACGTAAGTACACGCAAGCGTGCGTCCAGATTGCCGGGGCTTTTAAAATTGCGGGTAATTGACAGTTTTACTTGAAGCGTGTGAGTACGTTCATACACCGCCGCTCTTCCCGCACGAGGCTGCTTGCCCGCTAAGCCTAATAAGGTGAAAGCTTGCCGCAATTATGGCCCTAATTTAAAACGCATTATTCCACCAAAGGCCCATTAAGATTCCCACTCTTCTCGGCCTCCCGCAACGTAGAACGCGTTGCTTTAAAGTGCCCCGGCCGATGGACTTTTTTTCCTTAACTCTGAGCGTGTAGCCGCGTGTCACCTCGCAGCCTCGCTTTCCGTGGCCTCGCGAAAACATTAAAAGCGTCGCTTTAGTGCATGAGTGGCGCTCTGCACTAAAGGGCGTCAAAGGAGCAATGCTTTGAACAAACGAAATGTAACAATGTAATTGTACGGCGGCTTTTTAGTAGCTCCTCTTGGGAGGTGGTGCGTGTTTGTGCCGACACACATTTGCAGGTCGGAGGAATTTTAAATGAATCGAAGGTCTGCTTTTAAAATTTCACCTGTGCTTTTGTGTGTGCTTGTTGGAGAGGCACGGCCATTTTTTGCTGCTAGCATTTTTGGATGAGCCCCCTTTTTGCTTAACGTGATCAACCTGCCTGTTGGAAGAGAACCTCCTTCATTTAGCCGCACGTAATTCTTCTGCAGAAAAGCCACGCGCTGCCCTCGCATCAATTCTGTTGGCGTCAAAGATAAGCAGAGATAGGCACCTTTGTAATGTCTGACTTTGCTCGAGAGCAATTCTCCCTTCAACACACTATCAGAGTGGCTAAATTGTGGGCCTCTAATTTACGTACCCTGAGATGTGCAGTCGTCAGTGGATCCTGACTGAAGTATCACAGGGAGTCCAAAAGCTCCTTCAAAGAGGCCTTGTAATCTTCTACACAGTAGGGGGAAGCTTTCCCACAAACTCTGCTGCGAAGATTGTTACTTGACAAACCGATCACGGATATATTTTTATTGACAGAGCTGGAAATGTAGCCAAATCAAGTACAAAACCAAATGTAGTGACACCAGTTATTCTGAGTGCAGTCATCGGTAACAGGGCTGAGACCATAAACTTATGACATTGAGAGTAACCTGATTTTCACCACCTTGTGAAAGACCCAACACAGAGGATCTCTGGGTTTGATTTTCCACCAAGCTCACGGTCCACCCTAAACCACATTCACTGCACAAACCAAAGCAGATGCGGATACCTGATGTACGAATAGAAAATGTAAAACTCTTCAGTGTGCGACTGTGGTCATCCAGAACCGACCGTGCAACATGTAACAACGCAATTCCCCGATCCACAAATACGAAGGAGACATCACAGCGATGCACTCCGCTGCTGCTGACTTGGTTATTTGGCTTGACCACCTGAATGTAAAATTACAGTTTTTGCTTTGCGTCTACATCAGTAGCCGTACGAAACAATACATATTTTCAGCACAGGCCTGGTGTCACCACAGCACTCTCACCTCGGAGTCACCTATAGATTTCAGGTCTTTATGAAGCTGCCTGAAAGACATCACTAGGGCAATGTGCCTCATTCGTGATAACGGAGACACTGGCACATTCTTACTTTGCCAAGGGACATTCATCAGCATTTAAAAGGAGAGGGGGCCCTTGTTGTTGAATATGACCAATTATTATTATGATATCTTCAGCGTTGTGGCATTCAAACGTTTGAGAGGGGGAAGGGAGGCAGTGGTCATGGCCATTTAATAGTCATGCTAATCGGTGCCTTTTAAACTATTGTACCACTGATTAGTTATTTTCATGTTTGAGCATATCAGTGCATCATCGTGTGATTGGCTATCATGTCACCATCACTGTGGTATCGCGTAACTAACTGCAAATGCAGTGCAGCCACTTATTAATGGAATAAGTTATATATAAGAAGACTGCTTTAAATTATGCTGCACCTTAGATGCATGGGCATCTCCCTACATGGCCTCAGCTTTTTCACATCATCAACCACTCTTGATAGACCAGTCTAAGAAATATGCGTGGGTTGAAAAAATATATTTGTGATGGAATTTAACAAAGCTGCCTCTATATGTCTGTAAAAACTTTGCGTTTGTTTGATTTCACGCAATGTAACATCATTCTTCCGTAAATGTGACACCGCGATTCAGAGCACGCGCAAGGCGCCCACTGTTTCTGTTAATTGCTCGACACAAAACGAAAAGTAGAAGATTTACAAAAGTTGACGGGGGTCACGCACAGCACGCTCGCATTGTTTCCCTGCCCGTGTTTTGATGTAAAACTAAATAAGTTGGCGCGTTATATCGCCGCAGCAGCCGTGGCAGCAGCCGCGGCAGCAGCGTTGTTAGTGAGGCAGGTGGGGGTGGAATTTATGAGCGCTTATGTAAGTGCGCGCGCACACAAGTGCGCACGATCGCGCGCTTTGCAGTCTCGATCAAAGCGAGGAAGTTATCTGTCAAATGTTCTTGTCGCTGAGGTTGTTTTGAGATCGGAGACCGATGGTCCTAATGGGCCCTTTCACAATTTTTGCACTGCGAATGCCCCCAAAAATGCCCTTGTAATTGGTTCCATCTGGCAGGTACGGCGATGTGTGTTTTAAACGTGGTGACTCGTGTTCGTTCGGCATGAATGTAGCGCTTGAAACTGCGTGTGCTCATATGTTTAACCGCTGTGCCTTTGTGCGTGGGCTAAATACGAGTGCTATTTGGGTGAAACCGAACAAAAAAAACACATTTAGTGGCTCTTGTTGGTCTTGTCATGCGGTTTAATAACTGTCACTCACGCAGTATTCCTGGACGCTTAGCCGCACAGACATTGAAGCGAAATTCGATGCAATTAGCATTGACCAGAGTCAAGGCACGCATTGACGAGGCTCAACACCACCAATTGGTTTTTCTGTCCATCCCACCCATTCTGTCTTTCTGCACAGTTCTACAATAAACAGGTGCCATTCAGTGGATTAATTAAAGCGAGAACCCCGGCTTAGATTTTTTGCTTTGTGCTGCCGCACAGCTCTCCGCTGCGTTTTCGGGTCGCGTGCCGCCTGTTGTTCCGGCACGATGTTCGATGTTTCGCGACACTTCCTGGGAGCTTCTTCAGGACACGGATCGAAATAAGCTCCCGGCGCGCGGAGCGAGATGACGGGACGTCTTGCCGCTGAACGACACGCGGCGCGATCTGACAACGCCTCGGAGTGCCGCGCGAGAGCCGCCCGCGTGTTCACCAGCTGTTCTTTACTATTCTTGCATATGGCAAATATGTTCAGCTCAGCCTCGACGTCAAGCTCTGCTAGCCACGAGAGGGTTTCAGGAGTCCTCTGTGGACACTTCACTCGATTCGTGAGCACCTGACAGCAAATCTGGAACACGTGGATGAAGGCATCTGTGTGCCAATGCGCGTGCACGTTATTAAGTTGTTTGTTTATCAGTGGTAAGATAGTAGCGACGAGACGTTACCGCACTCGAGGCGCGGCGCAAGCGACGACGGGGAGCGACAGGAAAAGCGAATGGAAATCCCAGCCAGAGTTGGTTTTCACCCAAATCGCATGTCCTCACTCGACAAAGCCAGCGACAAATGCGCACGGTACTAGCAATCGTTGGAGTTGCCAGGTGTTGTTGGAGGTTTTGTTTCGCCCCCCACCCACCCCTACCCCACCCCCCCTCCCGGACCACTGGCTCTACACGACCTGTCGCGTGCTGCGTGCGCTGGACTTGTCTTGCAGGGACGTCCACGCCCACTAAGCGAGCCGAGGCATCAGACGCCTCGCTCCCTTTCCAGCCTTTCGGTGGTGGGACTGATCCATTTCACTCTAGAGGGGGGTTTGAGGAGGAAGGGTGCGGCCGGACCGACCCATTCTCGGCCACGCAGCCAGCGCCAGGCAAAAGCTCTAAGGGGTTCGGCGTAAGTCACGGCCGGCGATGTCTTTGCTCCGACTCTCTCCAGCACCATTTCTTCCCCCCCCCCCCCCCCCCGATGCTTCCTGTCTCCTCTGCTCATCGCCGCACAGTGCCGTTTTGGGAGCGTAATTCGTACGCTCCTTGCTACCGCCCCCATCCCCACGCCACCCCTTACTCTGTGCACTAATCTCATGGAAAAAAAAAAGAAACTAACACGAACGTGATTTTTTGCTCATGAGCCCCTCCCCCCCCCCCACCACCAACCCCCGCATACATTCGCTCCTCGCGCCGCTTACTGCCATGCACATCACGTACGCTCTCGACTGAATTGCATGCGACTCGACTGAAATGCGGACCGTTCCTTATCTTTGCCGGCACGTTTCGTTATAACGGCGGTGGCACTTGAGTGAGTAGTGCGTGCGTGCGTGCAGCATGCGCATTTCAGCGAGACGTCTGCATGGTTCGGGAATGTGCTGCTTGTGCTTCTGTGTAGTTGTTGTGTAGCGTCCGCGAATGTTCGTTTTGTGCCTGTGTGCAACTTTTAAATGCGAAATCATTACCTTAATGCGGATTTGAACGTGGTGTTCTTTTCTTACGTGCGATCAAATTTGAGCGTGAATGTGCGTGCTCTGTGTGGTGTGCAATTGCAGGTGCCTATCGAGTTTTGAGTGTCTCCCTGCCTAATATGTGCTTCGTTTACCATGTGTTTTTCCAGGATTTGAATGTATGCGTTGCTATTGTTGTACGTACTAACCATGCCTCTGTGTTGTGGAGTGTGAATGCATCAGGCCCAATGCAATGTACTGTGTTCTGTAAACCTTTCTGTATGAAAATAATTATCCAACGGCACACAACGCTCCTCATCTAGCTCGAGCCTGACGCCAGGGCGCTGTTTTTTTTTGTCTTCATGGCTAGGTGACTAAAGAGCCTGGTGACTCAGCTATTATGCCGTTCACTGGGTTTGCGTGATTTTGTGCAGTGTGAATTCCACGAACAACCCGGCAATCGTTCCAGAGGCCCACACACTGCTGATGAGACGCAGAAGTTGAAACAAGTCCAGAATTATCCTGCTAGAAAAAAAGCATCTGGAAAACATTGGCCCGCCAGCCGTATAGGTAGATGAACTAAACTGCCATTTAATTTTTCACACAGTGAAACAAATAATTAGTTTTTTTTATTTACTCCTTCATTATTTCCCAAAATCCATCATGACTCTGGACCTACAGGGGTGGCGACGGCACCGGCGATAACCGAGGTTACAAGAGTAGCACATTTTACAGATGTACTTACGGGGGGAGAAGCCTTCATCCAGCAGTGGATAGACAATGGCCGATGGTGACGAATCAAGCGGGACGGAGCGCAATAAAGCATTTTGAATTACGACTTGTTGCTTGCGGGAGGTTAGAGGTCTTTGCGCTGAGCTCTTGTGGCTCATATCCGTCACGAGGCGACACCTCGCTCCTCAACGGACGATCACGCTGATGATGATATCAGTGATGTACGACTCGGTGCTTTGCGAGCGACACGCACTCCGTCTTCCGTCGTCCACCGATCATCTCCGTGCGCGTGTAAATTGGGTGACAAAGCGCGACGCACGCGTGCCATTGATCGGTTGACACGGACGGATGAGCCGCGCCTGGCCGGTGAGGCCTGGAGTCTTCCATCGCTGGTAAACATGCCGCATTAAAAGTGACAGCCGGAGAGCAAGCGTCACAGCGGCACGGCTGCCTTGACGTCCCTCCCTTGGCTCTTGATGAATAAGGACCCGACGCAGCCAAGGGTCAGTGCTTAAGGATTTAAGGAATCAATTAAATGAATGAAAGTCCCTTCATTAGTCAGTCCCACAACTCCTTGTGGCCTATACAAGGGGAATGATATTTACGGGTGCTGTGGTCGGCTTTTGTGCGCTTTCGTGTATATATGCGGCTGACCTATCTCGACCCAAAATTCGCTCGTATGTTTTGAATTCACTCGTGTGCAGCTATGCCGGCGGACGTGGCACAGCATTGTGTGCAGCGTACGTGCTATTCGGCAGGCAGCTGTATCGTGCTGGTTCGCTTTGTGTGCCATGTTTTGGAATGCATCTACTACTATGACCACATAAAGCGAGGGACGCTTGTACGTATGTATTATATTTTTTTATCCGGCTCGTGATAAATCCTTCCGTACAATCACACAAGCTGCGCGCTGTCCGTAAGTTTAAAGGCGCCTGCTATTAATGGCGCGTGCGGACACTCTATTGTTGAACTAAAAAAGTAGTCAGAATTAGCTTGAAATGCAATCAAGTGTTATAACTCGTTAGATGTGTTCGTATAAACATCGCAAGATAGAGCAACGCATTTTCAGATTTAGCGAAAAGTTTTCATATTTTTGACAAGATGGCTTAACGTTGCCCTTTAATTGGGTCCTTGATGACTTTTAATTGATGACACATTTTACTTTATTCGTTTTATTTAATTGAAGCTATTTTTTGCCAACTGTAGGTTTTCTTATTAGGATGTGTTGGCATGTGTTCTGTTTTATTTTTGGATAACGCGTTCCGTGTGGCGTCAGTTGTAGTTCATTGCTGCTTAACAATGTGTGCTGATAATTCCCACTTATTAAGCTTCACCTTGGCATTGACTTCCCTCCTGCATAAGTGGTACAGTCCGGCCTGCCAAATTAACACTTGCCAGATCACTGACAGACATCTCTATTGCGCAACGACAGGGGTAGCTTAAAAAACACGCCGCACTTTTTTCACCCATCTTGCGACTCAAATTTTCCCCATCGGGTTTGCCCCAACTTGTGAAAGGCGATCGGTTTAGATACATTTTCATATTTAGATGTAAAAAAAAAATCTCACGCACACGTTAAATATTTTTTCAGTTCAACTACCCCCGGTGAATTTTTCGAATGCGACCAAGTACAAAAATACAGATGGAAACGTGAACTTTGTAGGGCTTGTGTGCCGAACGAATGGCGGAATGTATTTTTCCACGGCTAGGTGCGAGCGCGCTCCGTTTTCCAGCCACGCGTGTTCGCACACGTGCTCTCCTGTTGTTCTACAATGCCGGGGAAAACGCTTGCGGTTGCAGGCGACGGTGCGACACGACCGTACGCACGAACCATATTCGACCTTGCTGTTCGTTTGTTGGCATTGTGTGACCACTTCCAGTGTTCCACGGTCCACGCATGCATTGCTTAATCCCACATTTGAGGCACGCGTGACCTTGCGAATGTTGCGACCGTCGCAAGGCCAGTTTGCGTTTCAAGCATTTTTTTTTTTACAGGCGGGCATTGTTGAGCTGAGCTCAAATGCAAAAACTGTAACATATATAAAAAAATGAAGACATTTCCTTTCTTTTATCTATGTTCTTGGAATCGCCGAAGTGCACACTGGAAATGTGAAGTTTGACGGTCTGCAACACAAACCCAAAGCATTATTAATTCGATTCGATAAGTTGTTCATTTCAAAATGCAAACGAATTTAGATTTACAACGAAATATATGCATGCAACAAATTGACGAAATTCAAATACACCATTAAATGCACATTATTCATGCACGTTTACACATGTTTTGTTTTGGCAGACGGAAATGTTAGGTTTTAGTATTTTTACTTGTGTTTATGATCGCGGGTTCATGTAATTAGGCTTTTTACATTTTAAGTTATTACATCAATCAAGCATTTCATTTTCCAATTGCATTAACCAAAATCCAGACCTAAATGTCTGATTTTTTTTTAAACACAAGTTAAAAGCTAAAATTAAAATTGACAGGATCTTCACCAGACTCCTCGAGCTTTGTAACAGACTAAAGCACTTCTTGAGCAAGGTGCTTCGACTAAATGAAATATCAAGATTATTGACAAGGGTAATTACTTAGACTCAGTGATACTACAATGGCTATATTAATGCAGAGTCTAAAGTACGTCAAAGTGCACCTATCTACTCAAAGCCCTTTCCCGTTGCGAGACATCTGCAAGTTGCAGGGTGGCGGGTCCCGTTCAACCCTGAATTCCGGAACGCGCAAGCGGTCAGCGTTATTCAGAGAGAGACAAACTCACCGCAGAGAACTGTCGTGGCACGACCACCACTCCATGATTGCTGGCGCCAACCTGTGGCACACACGCCCCACCTGCCTGGCCTTTAACTTCCGAATTGGCAGAAAAACCGGATGACGTGCACGTACCTCGTCGGAATGGGAAAGTGTTAATCTCCATTGGCGAACCAGACCACATGGGGAAATGTTCGCATTGTTATGGTATTCGTTTTATTGACATGGGATGGGGATAATAGGCTGAGTTGAACCCCCGCCAACCGAGATTTGTGCCCACGATCTCGTGAGTGTGTGCATCGAGGGCTACTCGTGCACCCAGCTCCAGCATTCCAAACGGTACACAAATAAAAACCGCAAGTGTGAAAAAACATCATCACCACAGGCCTCTTGTCAGTCCACTCCCTGGATGAAGGCCTCTCCCCTGCCATCTCATGGAGGCGGTTTGTTTTCGAGCGTTTTGAATATCTAAATTCAAGAAGCAATAATTGAGATACCTTTTTCATACCCTGCTTGAACGAAGGCCTCCTCACAGTCGGCCATTGCAGTTGTATGACCATACTTCACTCCGCTGGCCCAATGTGGGTTGGTGAAGGTGGGGGGGGGGGTGTCTGGAACCCATGACAGGTCCAGATATCGCTTTTCGTTGATGCTAACCATGGCTGGGAATCAAAGTGGAGTCATCGGGTTCATAGCGCAGTATGTATATATATGTTGAACTTCGTTCGCACCATACGTAGCCAACCGTGCTCATCTGAGGTGTGGGAGGACTAAACACAATAAGCAGTTCTAAAGAAATTAAGTTTTCAACCTCGATTTAAAAGTGCATAGCCTCCAGTGGCTTCCTAATATCGGGGAGGAAAGAGCGTTCCAGACGGCCGCAGAAGCGCACCAGAAAGGGCGGGATGCAGTGACCGTCTTTGTTCGGTGGCTAGCCATTTGGCGCAGTGCGCTTGCTGCTACGAC